TAGAGGAGAGTGACACAGTGAAAGGTCGTCTTCTCCCTGCAGACACGCTGGATGTTTAATATCATTCCAGCCAGAACACCATGCGATTAAAAACTATTGCTCTCTTACAGGTTTCCTTGTTTTTTTATTCAGTTTTACGCTCGAGTGCTTCAGATCATTGAACAACATTGAAGGATAATCTGAGTAATTTGAAAATGTAGTTTATAAATTACCTCGTTTATTAAGTTGAACCAACTCTACCGTCTAAACCAGGTGTGTCAAACTCATCTTCATACTGGGCCGCAAAAGTCTGAATGTTTTTAAAGGGTCAAAATGTATTGATAAAACCCATTAAACTGTTAAAATATCAATAAACAGCTGTTTGTTTCAGGATTCAATAAGTGTTTCTTAAACTTAAATACCGTAATATTGAAAACCTTTTCACACCGATCAGCCCATCCAGGATTTTGTTGATGTTTTTGTTTTTATTTGCAATCACAATCACAGATTTTCTAACACTAATTTAAAAATATTTGTAAGGAATTTTTTATTATATTTACGCTAATGTATGGTGTTAAACGTGGCTTTTTATCAATCGCCATATCGGTCACAGACTGTATGTAACTTTACATCAGGTAAGGCTGAGGCAGCAGTCTGTATTTTTCTTCAACCACCAGGGGGCGCTTTAGCAGGAAGGGACTCATCGCAAGTCAAAATTGGAAGAAGAAAGTGGTACTTTTCATTTAGAACAAACACATGCTAGCAGCAGGCATGACGGAGAAATTTCTTCAAACTCATACCCCCTCATCATGGAAACAACACGAAGAAGTTCATATGATGCCGCGTTAAGTTGAAGGTTATCGATCTGGCAGTACAGATCAATAACCGCTGCCTGTAAGATCGGCGTGAACGAATCCATGGTTCAGCGTTGGACACGCAGGGCTGCGTCCTTAATAGCAGATTCATTAAGTCCTTGTGGAAAACCGAGAGCGGCGGAGACACCAGCGTAGCCCAGTGCGACTTATATATGTACGTTTCCAGTTGTTGTTTTTTTTGTTTGTTTTTTTTTTAACAAAAGCTTTGAGTGCGTCTTATAGTGAGGTGCGCTGTATAGTCCGGAAAATACGGTAATCTGTTCTCAAGTTTCTTTAGATTGGGATCTTATTGTACTTTGTGTTGTCAGACTGGGTCTGTTTATATGATTTATTGATTACACAATGTGTAGCAGTAATCAAATTTTTTGTGGCCTTAAAATGAGTATTTAATTAACCACATTTTCTGACAGCAGAGTTCAATTTCAAAGAAGTGTTGGGGGGAGGATTACTGTTTCACATGGGGCCAGATGAACAGTTTTTCTCCATTAATGAATAAAATCATCACTTGAAAGCAACTTTCCATATTTTTATATGTTTATTAAAATATATTCCTATATGTGAAACAAAAACTAAAATGGAAGATAGAGCTCTATGAGGAGGCAAATGCTGCAAGTATAAGTGTATTTTGTTGAAAGTTTTTCATTTAAGTTCAACATTTCTTCTTCTCGGTGATCTGAATCTGAACAACCCTGAAGCCTTTTAAGGCATTTCAACCACAACAAACAAGTTTAGGGGAATAATTTGTATCTTTTGAAGTGTTGCAAACACCATCCATCATTTCTTCAGTTCTGTCCAGCCACCAAAACACCATGAGACTAGTAATGATGAAACCTCTCGGTGGGATAATGGGTTTATGCCTCATGTGATGTTTCCTTTAATGGCCACACCGATTAGTTCTAATGTTACCTGATTACAGCACCTTTTTGTCTTAAAAAGTCATTAGTAAAATCCAAAAATCCTTTTTTTGCTTATTGCCTAAAGCCAAAACACAAAGTTTGTTGAGGTCTTTAGACAGAAGCATCTGGTAAGTATTTCATTTTCTCCACATTTCTCACAAAGCTACGCTAAAATTGGGTTATTATTTCCATTCACTAAAGTGAATAATAAAACAAAACAAAGTTTAGTTGACATTTTTGAAAATTTAACATAAAACTTGACATTTCTACCACCTGGAGAGTAAATTAAGTTCCATAATTCAGAAGCGAACAGACGTGTCTAAGGAACAGAAATCAGGTAATCAAACTAATGGGCTGTTGACCTTCAAAACTATATCGTGTCAAAGCACAAGTCTCTGAAACATAAAGAAACCTTTTTAGGCAGTAATGAACGCCCTGAAAAGGTTTGTAACAACCAAACCTTCTGTAAACCTGACTGCTCGACTACTCAGTGATCAGTGAAGAACGGCTTTGGTAAAAGAGGCAACCAAACACTCAACACTCACGTAGGTGGAGCTTCAAAGACAGAACCATTTAGAAGGTAAATCATTGTCAACACTTTCCACCAAACAGTTTTTTTTTTTCCTTTTTTGGTAGAATAGCCATATGGTCATGGATCTTCTTGGCTTGAACTCCTTGAACCAATATTTAGTGAAGTCAGACACTGCTCATCACCTGGCTCTTACCTTCCCAGGGCAGCTGGGCAACAATTCAAGTCAACAGTAAAAAGAATCAGTCAGACAAAAAGTGATTCCTTAAGAAAACCTGTCCTAGAGCGTTTTGTGCCTCTGACCAGATTCTAACTTGACAAAGAAACAGGTATTAATCCAAAGCTGTAGACACTCATTTACATGTTTGTTTTTATTGTGTCAGAAAGCTCAATAAAAAAGCTGCAAGAAGCTTGAAGCTAAGTTGTTTAATCAACAACCACTTGAGAAAAGGATTAACAGAAATGCCAGGACACCTGAACAGTTTTTCAGTTCAGTACAGTGAACTGAAAAAAAAAAAAAAAAAAAAAAGTCATGAAAAAAGGTCAAAACTTTATACAGTTTGACTCCCAAAGGGATTAAGGCAGAAAGAAAGAAAAATGGCAGGATTTTTGCTACCCCACTAGAGACATTTGGGTTTAAAAATATGAACAGACAAAAGGTTACATGTTAAATGTCATGCTAACATGCACTCTGTAGTTTAGCCTATTTCATACATGTCTCCAGGCGTGACTTATCTGCCTATTCAACCGGCCCTGCTGTAACTCCTGCTTTTCTCTCAATTCCTGTAAAGTTACAATATCCACCTTCTTGCCTGCTTTTCTTTTTCTCTTCCCGTTCAGCTCTTTAGCGCTTAAACTGTTCCAGGTTTTACCATAACTATTTCTTTTCTTGATCATCTTCCTCGTGCTACAGACTTTGCCTCTGCCTACTCTCTCTGTAAATGCATTGGTTTAGAGTTTTATAATGCCAATACATAAAACTGGAAATAATCTGAAAATTTTGAATTAGAAATGTAAATTCTTTAGCGCAGTGGTTGTCAATGCATTCATTAAAAGTACCATTATCGAAAGGTTTCATCACAATGAGATGCATTGCCTGGTATGAGATTGGATATCTATCCTATTGGATAGTTACTGAATGAAATGGTCTTCCACTTGCCAACAAGTTATTTATCCCCAACTGATGCAATGAGAAACGTCTCGTTTCTTAAACAGCCACATCCTAGTTGTGGAAAAGAGGTTGGATTTTTTTTAAACATGGGTCAAATTATTGGCATGGAAAGCAGAGACAACGTCAAAGGAGACTGAATAAAATTGGTTTAAAAAGTTTGTTTTTACTCTGAAGCATAGTGATGAACCATCATCTATGTGTTAGGGAAAAAAACAACAACAAAAAAACTGGATAACTATGATCACCACTTAAACGTTTGCAATTTTTTCTTTGGAGCTGAGGCCACTTCAAATGAAACTAATCTAAAGAGGAAAGCTGCTCTGTGGTGTGACAAACAAAAAAAAAATCTAAACTTGAAACTTTTTGGAAATCACAGATGTGGGAAAAACATGGACATCCTCCAGGCAAAAGACGAGGGAGACCATCTGGCAAGTAGTCAACAGTAAGAATCAGTGATGGAGCAAAAGTGCACAAGGTTTGCATAGTTTTCACCTCAGTGAAGCTGCCATTAATGTTGAAATATATACAAGTTTGAGAGCAACATATGTGATGTCTTTTCTTTTTTTTTTATTCTTCAGATATCATGAATGACAATACCAAGCTACATTTAACACATTTTACAACTGGAAAAATCCAACAGTTGCTGAAAACATTTGGTGCACGATAAAATAAAACATGCAGATGAGGTAGCCTACAGCTCTTCAGTTTTCACACAAATAAATAAAAATGGGGGGAAAAGCTGCAGCAATAAGTGCTACTATTCCAAAAACGGACCTGGAATGTGCATACTTACCAAAAAACAGCATGTAAGTGCCAGTATTTCATATGTTGTCTTTGTCATTTCAAACTTAGCTCCTGCAAGCTGAACGTTTCTTGTTTTATTGCTATGTTTCACATTATCCAAATTTATTTTAGAAACGAGGTAATAAAAAGCTTAATCTTCGCAGGAAAATTGGTAAATTGTTCCGGATTTACACTCACGGGGGAATCGTTTAGAAAATTGCAAGAACTTGTAAAGAAGCTATAATGAGTGAAGTTCCTTTTTGACGTGCACTGTTGTGTGAAGCTGATTAAAAAAATACTTTCAATGGTAGTTCATATCCTTCTATCTAGTGAAAATCAGCTCACACCAAATGCGAAACTGCCGAAAATAAATTTGAAGAAATTCACACAATACCGAAGACATAAACCGAAGTGAAATTGCATAAATATTAAACACGAGACGTAATGTCAAAGAGACAGAGGCACAAAGCGACTCCCAACAAAGGCTGAAGATGGTTGACGTGGTAAATTATTAGCTTCTGCCGACACACTGTGATACAGCCTCATCTAAGGTACTCGAGTTACAAACAATAGAGCAGCCACAGTTCCTCTGATCCCAGGAGGGCTGAGTTTGGATCTGAAAACACAAAATGGGTTTTTGATATGGTAATATTCTGTCGACAGCAGGATGTCAGCCACATGCAGAACAGCCAGGGACTTGGGCAAACAGAAAAGACACGAACAACCGATGCATGTGTGTCACTCTGCCCGTGCATACGGGCCCTTACCAGTATTGTTGTGATTGTAAGAGTTGTGTTGAAGAGGGTGTCTGTCACGTTGATTGATGGAAGAGTTCTCTCCATGGACAGTCCATCTTCAGAGTGCCACAGGCCAATCTACAGAGCGACACACGCACGCACGCACACACACACACACACACACACACACATAGACACACACGCATACAAACAAAGAATCAGTCACCAAGTCCATCAGCTGGGAAAGGCCAACAGAAACAATCTGCGCTTAATTTTCTCCCTTCTCACTATCGGAGAATCGGTGTGACCTTCAAACAAGGCGGGAGATCTCTGCGGCGTGAGGTGAGGCGTCAGGGAAACTCGGAAAGAAACGCCGGAGGAAATAAAAATAACGTGCCTGGCTCATGGAGGCATGTGCACAGGGCATGTGTTCAATCAGAGGCAACAGGATGCATTCATTAAAGCAATTACCCGCAAATCCTGCGGTGCAGAGCCAGACTCTGCACAGCTCGAGTGGAACTTAACACCTCTACCTCACAGAGCGTCTTAACGTGCATCCTGGCTCTGTCTGTCATTCACATCTCCCGTTTCATTCATTTATGCAGCTCAGGCTTATAAATCCAACATACTTTAAACAATGCAGCTTTAATGTGTATATCTATTTTTTTGTTTTTGTTTTATTTACTTAGATTTTACTTGATCTTTTCAAAGATTTTAATTTTAAGAATAATTTTTCATGCAAATCTGTTACAGATTTACAGTCATGGTGTAAAAAAAACGACAAAGACAACTTTTTAAAAGTTTTGATCTGATCTGTATTGATAGATAGATGCCATTTCTGCACATGGTTTGTTTCCAAGTACGACGGATGCAAAGTAAGGTGATTTAAAATTCACTTGTAACTTTCGTAATAGTTCATACGATGAAGTGTTAGGGTTCTGTAAGCATTGCATACTATAATTATTTATGCAGCTGGTGCAGAAACATGCAAGTTCAGTATCTGTTGCTTACAGAAACTGAAACTGTCACTGGAGTTTTTACCCAAAGACAAACAAAAGACCAACAAAGCATTTAAACGTGTGAATTTTATTTATTTATTTATTTTTTTGGTTTTGTGGAACATTTTTTTTTAAATCTCCAGTCAAAAGTCAATCTGTAAAGACTATCTTCAAACTTTGTGAAATGCAATAATACTTACTATTACTGTGGAAGTTATTGCCTCAAAACCCCCAAAATGCAGCACTTTTCAGAACATAACATAAAAAAAAACATATTGTCTGTAATCTTCCAACAGCTTGAAAAAAAAACAACAAAAAAAACACACCTTTGTCTCTGCTTTTCATAATTAAAAAGAAAACGTTTATCATAATAATCAACGCTCGACGTTTATGAATAAGTGAAGATAATGAACATAAAACATATTATCTATTTTAGACTTGAAGATGGTATCAGTTACTCTTGATTCACGAGACCGCTTCCCCATTTACTTAGAAAGTTTCAGTGTCTGGAGTCGTGCCAGAGACGGTGTTAAACCACCAATGATTGAAGTGTTATTAAAAAAACATGGTCACAGTTTGTTTCACAGCTAAACTGCTGAAAGTGCCGAGAGATTTCGGCCCATTCATGTTGATCCGCGTTGGATTTGGACGCCATTTAACCACTTTTCCAACGCTGATGATGAATTCTGATGTGAGCGATATCAAAAGGAGGAAAAAGAGGGGGCCGGGGGGGAGGAAGAGACAGCTCCCAGAATCAAAGATTTCCTTTGAGAGAGCATGATCAAAAAGATCCTGCCTTCCATTTCCTGTGGTGCACTCGTTGGGGGGGGGGAAAAACAGCACCTTGCTCACACAAACAGACTACACTGCTCCTCAAACCTCCCTCAACTCTTTGCACACCCTGCCACTGATTGCCTCAAGAGGCAAAGAGAGAGAAAGAGAAGGAGTGGGAATGAGAGAGAGGAGGCCGGGGAGTGAGAAAATGTGAACGTATATACCGCAGTATGGTCAAAAAAAGCGGCCAGTGAAATATGCCGTTGCACAATCAGTGTACACAATCAGCTGCCAGAGCCTGCGGAGGTGGTGGGAGGTGGGGAGTCTTTAGCTTGGCTTGGCGCAGCAGGTGACATGAAAGCCTGAGCATGAGGGTGACTGAGAGGCTAATGGGATGAGGTGGCACCTCGACTCCAGCCAGAGACGAGTGGGTGGAGAGTCAGAGCGATGAGGGAGAGAGAGCTGACCCCATGGTAGCCCGCTCGTCACCCTTGTTCGAGATGCGCATTAATAAGAGATCTAATGTTCTTCAGATGCTTCGGCGAAGAGAAGTTGTTTCCCAAAGACTGGAAACTTTTCATACTTTAACCATTACTTTGAATCAAAGCATCATGCAAAAAGTAGTGGCTTGCAAGACAGTTAATATCCTAAAAAAAAAAAAAAAAAACCTTTCACATTTTGGCGCATCAAGACCTCAAACTTAAAGTGAATTTTAATTTAAGATTTAATTTGATATTTAGATTCAGCTTTATTTGTATCCCCGAAGGACAATTCATGTTATAGCAAGAGAAGAAGATGTGAAAAATAAGAGACATGCAATTAAAAGTCGAAAATGACGTGAAAACACAGGGAGCTGAAAGAACAAGAGCAGCAGGATGTATTCAGAGCTTCTCCCGTGATTACAGCTGCAAATCCGTTTGAGTATTTCTATCAGCTTTTCACATCTCAACACTAAATTTGCTCCTCCATTTTTTCTTTTGCAAGACAGCTGAACATCAGGCAAGTTGGATGAAAAATGTCTGTGCACAACAATTTTTAAGTTGTGCCACAAATTATTGCTTTGGGTTGAAGTCTGGACTTTGACTGGGCTATTCTAATATGCAATTAAGCTTTCATCTGGCTGTTTGTCTCAGCTCCTGCAAAATTTCCACTACCTTGGAACAGTTTTCCGACATCTCCACAACATGATACTCTACAGCCATGTCTTCAGGTGGATGGACGGTACTTCTTGGGACAGAGTGTTTTACAAGTCAGTGGAAACAAGAAATCAAAGTTTGTTTTGATCCTTCTTCTAGTGGCGACAGTGGAGGAGGAGGTAGGAGGTTGTCCGGTAAACTGTGACTGCAGTGAGTGAATGGGTGAATGAATGAAAGCGCTTTTGCGTCCTCTGGACTGGATAAAGTGCTACGCAGGTACAGGCCATTTACCACTCCACCTGTTTGCTGTATGCCCTACAGGGGTGTAGCAAACTTACGACCAATAACATGTATCCCCCTCCTGAGTGTTTTTCCATTGGGATTGTAGCTCCTCCAGAGTCACCATGGGCCTCTTGGCTGTTTCTCTGATTAACACCGATCATATCAGTGCGTTGGTGAGTTTGAAGTCCCCATGCTCTTCATTTTCAGATGATGGACGTAACAGGCTCCATGCAGAGTTCAGACTTTGTGATATTTTATATGAGACTACTTTAACCCTATTTTAAATGTATCTAACATGTTCTCCCTGCCATGTTTGCTGGGTTCCTTGATCTTCATGATGCTGTTTGCTCACCGATGCTCTCTAACAAACCTCAGATTGTTGAACAGCAAAGGAGAACTCTTTTTTGATTACTTCAGTGGATAATTGGTTGCACTGGATTTTATGTATCATCATCAGATTAGAGGGGGAATCAGTATGTACTTGTTAGATGTTTATTTTTAAGAGCATTTAATGGTGCTTACATTGTGGGAAAATTGAGAAAAAATTTATGGGGCGGTAATACTTTTTGCGTCTTTGTGCTGAGGCGTCTCGTTGTTTATGAATCAAAAAGCAATAAAGTGTGCGGATAATCACTACATATTGGAGCACAAATATGATGAAAGGATGACAGCGAGTAGTCTAAAAGCTGAACTGACAAACTGTAAAACGCTAATTAAGCTGATGAAACATTTATCAGTGAGCCGCACACTCTGCCATTAATCAAACGGCTCAGATGAAACATCTGTAATCTTCTGTCATTGTCTTTGAAGCACACTCAGCAGTAATGGTGCAGACTGTGTAACTTGTAACGTGAAGCGAATCCTACTGTGTCACGTCAATCTCGGTGAGGCAGAAACAACATACCATCCCATGAAACAAAGGTTATTACAATCACAGCTCCAGCAGAGGCTCTATTTGACTCCTGCTTCTGTCACACAGAGAGGAAGCTGCGTACTTTCAAACAGAGAACCGTTTTCACCGGGGCGTCAAACGCTGCAGCTGAGTAAAAGCCTGTAGTGTCTCTGACGCAAGCAGCAGATGCTCAAAGAGAGCAGGCGAGAAGGTCGGTGGAGGTGAGTCTGTTTGGGTTGGAGCGTGATTAGTGCTTTTCCATTCAATCGATGCGCATACTGCGTCACCGAGCTGCATCAGTAGGAACATTTATGTCAGAGCAGAATCACTCTGTGTCAGTTTCTCAAGGCCAGGTTTAAATTATAAGGAGGCATGTGGCAGGAAGCTTTCGAAGCAGCTGTGTTGACTTTGCTGTACTCATATTTTGTCACATACCAAATGTTTGTTTGTTTTTGCTTTTTTTTTTTTCCAAGGCTACTCATACAAAATACTTAAAAAATACATTTGATAGATATTTAACTGTTTAGGAGGTTTCAAAAACCCAAACGGAACAACCACAAAAACAAGAAGAAACTGCAAAAATAATAAATATCCTGTGTAAGTGCGCCATGTCCATGACAAAATTAAAGGCTGCGAAAGGTTGTCACTCCCCAGATCTAAAACCACATTTAAAAATGAGGCCGTTATCTACACAGGAAAAACATGCCTGCCTTGATCGGACATAAAAACCACAATTAAGCTTACGGCACATAAACTAGCTATTGTGTTGTCAAGAAAAGATTGATGTTTGGCTTTTAATAAATCCTTTTATTTGTTTTTATATGTTTAATGCGGCTAGACAGTCTCAATTTCAGCCAATGTGCTCATTTGTTTGAAAGCTGAGGTTGACAACAAGGTATTAAGCGATGCCTTAGGACTGAGGACATAACTTGCCACTACACAAAGTGCTTAAACGTTAAAATCTCTTTGAAACAAAAAAACAAAACAAGCAGTGTTATCTTCTGCAGAGAAAAGACAATTACTGTGCATTGAGGAGCCCGATTCAGACCAGAGTTT